AGGAATGTAAAATACTTTCTTCAGCACTGAACATGTGCAATCAGCATTGTATATTTAAAAAAACAACCCACTGATTATAAGATAGCTTAAATAGCCCCAAGTGTCCCTGAAGAGCTACTGTGTGCTGTGTAAAAGCTGAAAAAATCCTCCCAGTGTCAGAAGGTGACTCTTCAGCTGTTCAGGATCATAAGCTGATATGCTACCACTCGTAAAAAAAGATTCAAAACTCAAGAACATAGATTTAGGTAAAGATCATTGTGATGGTGTTGGAATTAATCTGCAAGAGCTGACAACATTGAAACCAATGTAGCAAGAATGATTCAAGGAACTGTAGCTTTTACTTAAAACCAAAACACAAAGAACACAGCAAATTCACACCAAAATAAGTTCAATGGGAATATGAAATTTTTACATCGTATTTGGCTCATTTTTCATCTTTTACAAAGATAAACGGAAAAAAAGGAATATGTTCAAACACACTTTCTATTTAAATACATACTGAATGCAGTACTTATATAACACCAGAAGTGCAGTCAGCGCAGAAGTACTCCATTATTGCTCAGTGAGCTGAATAAAATACTTTTAACATATTTATGAAGGCACATTGATAAAAGAAAAACTATTTCGATCATCTGTGTTTGTTTTAATCATCAAAATAGGGGAATTCGTTTTGGCCCCTGTGCTTAGAAAAATATGACTTGGACTTTCAAAATCTCATTATCTTTAATATTTAGTCTTAGTGTTTACATGGTAGTTTCTTCCCATTCAAGCTCCACATCACCTGCAAAAGAAAGAGATACATTACATTAACCTACACTGTAAACAAATAGTAAGTAATGGCAGATATCTGTTTCATCCGAATTTAAAAGATCTTGCAGAGAAAAAAGTGGAAAGCTTGAGCAATGAGTATTACCATGAGGGAGATGAAAGGGCAGCAAAATGCTAGAAAATTACACTTCTGAAGCCAAAAATTTCATGTCAAAGTATTTGTTTCTGTTTCTTAGTCTGGATGAGTCAATGCACCTGCTCTGAAAAAAAATATTTAAGACAATCTGTATCTCCTTACCTTCCATGGCATCCAGAGAGTCCATCTTCTGCAGTGCTGAATAATTTACAAAACATACAGGCTGACTACTTCCCTTGCTTGTCAATAGATCCAATACACACTGATGCAAAAATATATATTGTGCCTGTAAGATGTGAATTTAAAGACACTTGATTAGAATAAAAATGCACTTCTAATACCAAAAAACTGTTAATTTTTTTTTATCTAGATATTCTCAAAGTAACTGCAGTTTAACTCAGCAAATCTCAATACTTCAATGACTGTATCATATGTGCGTGATCTGTGTTCATTCATAATGCATTAAAAATTGTCAAAACGTTAATCTTTATGACTAGCAAGATATATGAAATTAGCCTAATCATAACTGAGACTAATAGGCTGTTCCACAATTTTCTGTAAAGGTTTGTTCTATTAAAAGACATTTGATTACTTTTGGCTCTAGATTCAGACTACAGAAACTGAACCACACGAATGTAATATTTAGATAACAAAATTTTCCTCTCTCTAGCATGCAGAAAACCAGCAGGGTGCACTCAAATGCAGAAGTTCAAGTAAATGCTAAGAGCAAAAAACCACATTATTTTTAGTCATACTTCTTGAACCGTAGCATTATTTCTAATAGACTATAGTGGAAAGTGTGGGGAACTAAAGTTAATTTGACACTTCCAAGGACATAAAGTAACTCTGGGTAATGATTGCTGAAAAGACAAGAACAAAATAAAGCAATGTAACAATGAAATAAAGAATGAAATAAAAGAATGAAAACAAAGAAAATAAATGGATTAAGCGTATCTGCACATAGGAGAAGTACTGTGTATGTAGATGCAGAAAAAGAGCCAGATCACAGAGTCACAGATTCATTCAGATTAGAAGAGACCTCTTGAGATCACCTAGTGCAACCTCCACTGCTCAAGCTGAGTCAATTAAAGCCCAGGACCTTGTCCAGATGTGTTTCGAATGTCTCCACAGATGGAGATGACCAAAATAACTTTAACTTCCTTGATTTTTGCACAGGCAAATACATTATTGTATTTTTTTCTGCTCAATAATTGCTATTTTGTTTCAGAACTGCCGTCAATCTTTAATTCAAGTGTCTCAGATTTATAAGAGAAATTTGTTTACATGGGTATGTTTTAGGGTCACAGCTCCAGAGCCATGGGTAATTAAACCAGACCCTGACGTACACAGTACCATTATGCTTTTCAATAGCTTGCTTACTGAAGCAATAGCGTGGCATTACTTCAAACTAGCCTTTGCACTTTACTTGGCAAGATGACAAACTGTAACAGACCCACTGGACAGATAGGGATTTCTAGAACGAAGGTCTTAAGTTTCAGTGGAGTTTAGATTGGTTATTCCAATTCAGAAGGCAGACTCTGAAAGCTCCATGATCTCTTGCATTCATACAGCTACTTGTGAGCATGTAGCCATAAAAATATTTCTGGGTTTGGCAAGGGAGAGTGAAGCAGGATACCTGGGGAATGCATGTGTGACAAGTTATTTTCCCACTTAGAATTAATGACATTCTTAATTATTTGAGAGTCTTTTTATGATTGGAAGTGGGAGAAGGAATAAAAAAGTTCACTAAAGATTAGGTGGTGCACTTTACATGTAGTCCATGGGCAGGCCTTGGTAATGTGTGGGCCACCAGGCAGAGTACCAGGATATTGAAATTATATCTACATTAGGGAACTAAACAGTGGCTGGGTACATTGCCAGCCAGTGGAACTTGATCATCCAAACTACTTCAAATTGTTTGGATGGTCCCTTGCATTGTTTTGACCCACATGAACCAGCACTATCTTGAATAATTTCCAGGTGTGTTTCAGGAGCTACTTCAGACTATGGGTCATTCCCCATAGAGAGCTTGTGAGGAGAGTGGTAACCACAGAGGAGTCTAATGGCACAGATGTGGGCCATTCTGTGCCACTTTGCAACCATAACAGAGAGCGACTCGGGGGCAAAAGGAAAACTAATTTGAGAGCAGTCGGGTTTTGGGGTTTTTTTTACTCATAGATCTTACAGACAGTTTGACAGAGGGATTTCTAAACTGAGTTCTGGGGAGGAATTGCTTCTCTCTTCATATCTTCTGTGCTGATCACATAGTGTCTAAATCATAGACTACTAAACAGTGTTTTATAACAGAGCTGTCAGAATAGCTTGACTACTGAATCTGCCATAAAACTTCACAAGATTTGGTTCCCTTTGGGCAAGTTTTGTTGCTGATCTGCCTTTTTTAATCTTGCAAACATGAGCTAGAAATGACCTGGAGAGAGAACAATCTGTCTCAGGATTTTGCAGTTAGCATATAGATCAATACTTGATCTGTTTGGAAATCAGAACTATGAGACCAT